TGAACTATCCACCCAGATGCACTGGAGCAATAACTTCACAGTGGCAGCCATCCACAACTCCGAAAACCTGTAGAAACCCCATTGCTTCAAAGCCAGCAATCATCTATAGAGACATAAGAAATATAGAAGTGGGAATAAGTAGTGTGCAAATCAAAGCAAACAGATACAAAGTAACACAAAGATACAAATGCAAAGATACAAATGTAGTAATACAAAGACATCAGCTACAAATACACATCTTTCTATGGTCTCCAAGATACACAGTCTTACACAACAGCACCAACTCCATGGCAAGGACCACTTGGACAAAAACGGTGCAGGCTATAGACATTCCAAAAGTGAACTCTGTTGCTGCCATCAAATAGTAACCACACAGAAATGGCAACCCATTTCTCCACCAAAATGGCCTGATGTAGACAGGTGTCCTGTGTTGTAGTATGTGGCCACAGTTCTTCCACAATCATACAGAAAATTCTTTGCGACATGCAGAACTTCTCCTCCCACTTCTCATCAGCCCACACAGAAGTGGCAAAAACGTTCCACATTTCCTTTGTGTTGGGGTATACCCACCACCTCCTGGGCATAGGTTCATAAAAGCACTACATAGTGCTGTTGAAATCAGTGGTCTCATTCATACAGGAAAACGAAATCATGCACTGCATTATCTTATTGCTGCAGGCACGTCACCTCCTTCTCTGTCTTTGAATTCCCACACCCAAGGGTGCCCCTGAAACAACCCCCAAAGCATCAAGTCTTCACAGATGGGCATCCCTCATCCAGAGGTAGATGAGGAAAGTGGATTGCAAACATGACATCATTGTTTGCAAAACAGCTATGGACACAGGATCCATGACCCTTGCTGGCAGATCACGAGGCAATGTGACCAGAAATAGTGACAGCTGATGCGTGCGGCCACACCTTGCATCACCGGAAATATGTAGATGTACATCATATGATTGACATAAAAAAAAACTCAGGATGGCAGGAAAATATAAGAAATATAATCAACATAATTGAATATTATGCAAAAAGAGTGGATCAACAAGCTGCATTAATATTTTTGGACGCTGAAAAGGCATTTGATAATGTTCGTTAGGATTTCATAACAGAGATTTTGAAAAAGATGGAAATTGGACTGAACTTTCTGACATGGATAAAAGAAATATATAAGAAACAAGAGACAAAGATAATAGTTAATGGAGAAAAAACTGCAGTCTGTGAAATACACAAAGGAACGAAACAAGGATGTCCGCTGTCACCGTTATTGTTTATTATGTCCTTAGAGGTACTTTTGGACGAGATTAGATCGAACGAAGCAATAAAAAGAATAAAAATAAACAGATTTCAATATAAAGTAAGGGCATATGCAGATGATTTGGTAATAACTCTAGCGGATCCAATGGAAATTATACAACCAATGATTGAAACAATTAAAGAATAAGGGAAGTATGCAGGTTTCAAAATAAATGAGAGAAAAACAAATATGCTGACATTGAATATGGGAAAAGAAGAGAAAGAACAACTCAAACAAACATCTAAATTTGAAATAAAGGACAAAATAAAATATTTAGGAATATACTTAACAAAGAAAAATGCAGATTTATTTAAAAACAACTACGAAAAAGTGTGGCAAGATGTTTGGGAAGATTTGCAAAGATGGACAAAAATGAATTTAACATGGACTGGCAGAATTTCAGTTGTAAAAATGAATGTAACACCAAAAGTGACATTTTTATTTCAAACATTACAAATTATAGTCAATGACAAACCATTTAAAGAATGGGAAAAAGACATGAAAGCATTTATTTGGAATAAAAAAAGGCTAGAATTAAAATGAAAGTTTTGCAAGACAACAAGGATAAAGGAGGAATGAACATTCCAAATTTTAAACTTTATTTCTATGCCTCATGTTTAGAATGGATCAAAGAATGGATACAGATAAAAGATAATAGATTATTACAATTAGAAGGAATGGATTTAGCATATGGATGGCATGTGTACCTAATATATGATAAGGTTAAAGTAAATAAGGAATTTAATAATCATCCTATAAGAAAAGCAATATTGAGGATCTGGCAAAAATATTTAAGAATATTTATTTAAAAGATTCCACAATGGACTTTGGTAAATGAAGCTTTTTATAGGAGAGAAAAAATGAAAGGTGATGACGGGATAACTTATAAGGACTTATTGCAATGGGAAAAAGATATTCCAAGGATGAAATCTATGGGACAATTATTAGAAGGTTTAAACTGCAACTGGTTTTTATACAGACAAATTATGGAAAGATTTAAGATGGATATGAAAACAAGTCAGATAGAAAAGGAAGAATCTGAATTTGAAAAATTAATGATGGAAGACTCTCAACATATGGTTTCAAAACTGTACAAAATACTTTTGAAGGTAGAGATGGAAGAAGAAACTGTAAAAGAGTATATGATAAAATGGGCACAAGATGTGGGAAAACCAATAATGTTTGATGATTGGGAAAGAAACTGGAAAAAAAAGAATAAAATATACATTAAGTTATGATGTATGGGAGAGTTATTACAAGATGCAATACAGATGGTACTTAACGCCAGAAAAAATATCCAAGATTTATAAAAACAGTAATAAAGAATGCTGGATATGTTCGAAATCAATTGGTACATATATACACATGTGATGGGAGTGTGAAAGATCGAAAAAGTATTGGTCACAAATACATACAGAGATAGAAAATTTTTTAAAAATCAAGATGAATAGGCAACCAGAAGTATATTTGTTGGGAATGCTAAATGATGAAATTGAAAAAACGTTTGGTAAGGTACTATTTTATATGTTATACGCTGCTAGGACTGTAATTGCAAAAAGGTGGAAGAGTAGAGTCTCTTTTTTTAATTTTTTTTATTCAAACATACAAACATACAACATACAACATATCACATATTTCAACAAATAACACACAAAACCCTTTATCAAATGCCCAATTTAAAATCAATATCCCCCCAAATTTATATTCCCTAACTTTCAATCTACCAAATTATTTCTTTATATTCCTTCCATTCTTTTCGACTCTCCTTTCATACCTTTCTTGCACCCTCTCCAGTTCCTCCCTCCCATCCCCCTAATCTTTCCTATCCCCATCTCTCACTCGACTCTCCTTTCCTTACATTTCCTTTCCCTTCCCTCTCTTATATTTCCTTCTCTTTCCACTTCACTTCTTACTCATTCAACTTACTCACCACCTTCTCTACCATTCTTATCCTTTTCTTTCCCTTCTTCTACCTACCTTCATACCCTCTTCTACTTTCATTTTCCTTCTCACTTCTCATCCTTTCTTTCAGTGTTCTCCATACTCTTCCGAATTGTTTTGCTTCCTCCCAGCTGATTTCTTTCCTTTATATACCTATTAATTGAACTTCTTAATATCTGGGTTGTTAATCAAGGATATTATTTTATATACATATGTATACACACACACACACACACACACATATAT